GGTGTTGACGCCACTTAGAACTACTTCCAGTTCCGTATACTGAGCTACTTCAAAAGCTGCCGTGGAAGCGTGCTGCTCACTTCGGGTCTCGAGATCTTCGGACGTGTTCTTGAAGCTATAGTCAATGCCAACTCAACCAATAGCTGCCGTAGGATCTTTATTATTGTCGCAGGACATATAAGCGAAGCGCTGATAAGACTCTCCGCAGAAGATGAGAGGCTCTACGACCAGGTACAGGCCCAACTTCCCTTGCACCACGAATAGTCTGAGGAAATTGGCTGGGTTGCTATACCAAGAGGGATTCTTCATGAGAGAAACAAACGTCGTAAGGCACTTCTGGCGATACAGATAAGAACGACACGAATCAAGACACGAAGAGTACTCCACCATCGAGCTCTATGGTACATTCCCATGCTTGAGGAGACCAAAAGAGGACAGTTGATTTCATACTGGGATATATTTCCTGCTTCGTGGATGTTCGCTTATTTGATTCTCCTCTGGCTGATTGACGCTGTGTTTGCTCTGGTCTGGGCTCTCTTGGGCCTATTTGAGTCTTTGGTGGTTGATCCACCACCAAACTCTTTGGTTCAATAGTCAAGGTTTTATGATTCAATGGTCTACGGGTTCATGAAGTTGACTTGGGCTAGGCGCCAATAAACCAAGAATTATTAACAAGACTTGAACTCAGCTTACTTATTCTACACATGATATGATAGATAAGCATCAATATAAATTCTGAAAAAATCGTTTATTCATTCTCATTCTCATGGGTCATTCCATAAGTCAATACGGCATTTCTACATAAAGGCAATCATAAAGGTACAGTGACCTGCTCACCTGAGCTGCCCGTCATCCCGCATAATCGCAACAGTAAAACAAATGTCACAAACATCCTACAAACATACATACTTTGGATAGTCATATGTAAAAGGGCTCCTCACTTGAGCAGGTGAATGATGTTTGGGACCACCTCTAGGTCACCCAGATCAATAGGACGACCCTGCCGATCCATCCAGTCACAACCCCCCGAACCAAACATCTTCCAAGCCAAGACTCGACCAGCGAGTCGTTGCTCAGGGCCAGTAAAGTCCGGATCGATCGTCCGACTGAGCACTGAAATTGGCTTTGGATCAGTAAGTTGATCAAAGACGACTTCGCCTTGCTCGATCATCTTCACAAAGTCGCGATCGGGCATGAACAGCACCACAACATCGCCCGTCTCAACACCGTCTGGATCGTAACGGACATCGCACCGCCAGCAGAGGCGCCCCGAGGGGGGAGCTGCTTCGTCGTGGATGATTGCACGTGTGAGGAGACAGGATTTGCAATTCCATGTATCATCAATGGCACCCTCTTTCATTATCTCATAGATGTAAATTGCTTCCCTGGCGATCTCTGTCTTGATTGACAAGGAGGGGTGCGGGTTCGCTGTCTCACCTGCGTCCTTAACAGTCTCTTGTAGCGCGGAGTCAATGGAAATATCCGGGATTATGGGTTCAAGAGTCATGGATCGTCCGATAGTCGCAGTTGATGCGTCGGACTCTCCGTCGCTGGCTGTCCAGTAGGAATCATTGGAAGTTTCATAGTCGATAGAACTAGAATTTGAGGGTGAATAAATTGACATGCTGTCTTCGCTCTGGTCACAGGACTCAACTTCATTATTCCACCCCAAGATCCGGTGAATTAGGCTTTGCATTATGATGGAAGATGATGGATGGAATTTGAGTAGTACTGTGGATTGATGGTGGCCGTTAGTCGTTAGTCGTTATCGACACTGAAGTCGTGAGGTGGTCGTGATTATCATGGGACACACCCCCTGTACTTATAACCGTTGCTACATGCGTTAAAGCCATGTCTACTTACATAAAGTGTTCTGTGATCCCTCTTAATCTACCTAGCTTGGTGCTGGTCGCTCGGCGGTGACATCTCGCTGTCGCTGTGAACAAAGTCCAGTCCCTGACGACCATAGCAATGGATAGATAGATCATCGGGTGAACAGTGCTGAGATCTGCGCCTAGACATGTAAAACATACCCATTAAAGTCCGTAAAATTTCTTCGGATCAACATGTAATCAGGCACTAACATAATCGGGCAGTGACCCCGAACGGTGAACAATGGTTGAGCCAGGCTGGCACGTCTCATGGACCAGGACTGGCAAAGTTGGTGATTGGCCCTATAAGTCACAGCGCTCATAATTATCGATAACAGGAATGAATTGATAAACTTGCAACAACAGGCTCTCGTAATGGCGGCGTAACACCCTTCATATATCTCCGTCTTTACTCATGCGACTTAAAATTCTGAAGGAGCCAAGCTCCGGCATCACCCATCAAAGCTACACCATATCCATCAGACTCTCGCCTCCTGAAGTTATGTTCAAAGTGTTATCAAACACCTTGATTGCCAATTGAATGTAAATAACACACAAAATGAATCCAAAAGTTCAAAAGGCAGCATCGGCTGCGTGACCTGTATCCAACTTGACCAACGCACTAACCATAGAAAGACGGGAGGTTCACGGCTTTGAGAAAAGGAAAGAAAATAACGCCTTGACATATAATGAGACCCCTCGAGAACAATTTTGATGACTGCCAACAACCAGTCTGGTGAACGACGAAACTGGGGAGGCAATTGCATAGAACCAGTGATAGATATAATCCTCGTCAACGAGGCATCGCATCATACAGGGACAAAATCGCAGAGACAGTAGAAAAGAATAGAACCCAAGACCAAGCTCGAGTTCATAACAAGGGGAGAAGTATGCAGCCCGGTGGCGCGTTTGCGACCGGCTACCATTCATGCTTTATCCGTGAGTGTAGCCAGCCATCACTGGCGATCAGTCTGTCAGGGTTGTTAGAACAGCACAAATGTCCCTTGAAGTCAATAGTTACTCACCCACGCAAGCAGTTCCGCAGAAACCACAGCAGCGACCTGGAATAACCCAGACTTCCTTTCCTTCCGCGGCGCAAGTCGGGCACCGAACGCCAGGCACTTTGCTGTCGATAAGAACTGTTGAAGGCATCCTGCAAAAGAAGATATAGATTATCAAGTGAGTTGTGAAGTGGAATAGATAAAGTTCAAGATGAAGATGCGATAAATTAGGGCTGAGGCTTGGTTTTATTATTCTTTTACTGTGCCCCTAATTTATGTTTCATATACCAATACCCTAAGTAATACCCGAAACAGGGCTCCGTCCGGTTCCTCCCTTCTGATGGCTTGAGACATATCGATCACATGTTATTAGATTGTCTCAGATTCTAGATTGGTATTTGTAGGTGCGCTGCGAACAGCCCCATGCGGCTGGATACGGAGGGGCCGTCTTACAAAAAGCAACATCTCCAGCTCAGCTCTAGTCTATCCCTTGCATCAACCAGACTGTACTTGGATGGACGGCATACCTCCAATCCCTTGCAGCGGTAATTGCCTATCTGCGGCCCGGTCGATTCCGCCATCCATTCCCGATCTATTATTCTCCGATGCCCAGCCTCATCGCGGTGAGATCTTGTGTAACCATGAGGTGGGGGTGTTTTGAGATATGACCCGTGCTCAAGCTTGTAGTAGGTGTACTACATCAATTAAATGAATGTGAATTTAGGGGCATGAGCGTACTCTGCCGACATGTCTACATTCATTTTTAACTGTACATGAATCAGGAATCACTTGTTCTGTGTTACCATCCTGCAGTCAGCCAGCTGACACTACAGTATGTTTTTGTCTCTCATCCCTCAAGTTGTACGACGCGACATGTCTGATGGATCATATTTATGGCCATACTGATGCCTGGTGACTATACTTGCTTTTCGACTTGATGCGTGCTAGAGGGTGAGAAAATATAGCGGACGGGCTTCGGTGGGAGATCAGCGATTTTTGGTGTAAGCCATTCCGCTGTTTTTCCTCACCCCGAGAGCGTGTATTGAATACGATTTACCCTCAAACCCGGTGTGCACGCCCTTGGGTCTGCTTGGCATATAAGCCACAACTCAAAGTTCCGAGACACTCCTCTACCGCTTTGCCTACTGTCGATAGAACTGCTACCCTTTAGTTTTAAAGCTCCGTTCTTGGGACGCGGGAAATGCTGATAACGGGCCGATTGCAGATAATGGTGTCCTAGCTAAATATCATCACGAGGCTGGAATCTGTGAGTATGGATAATCCAATGGCTTGCGCGTAAATTTGTGCTCCTGTTTTTATTTCTTTTTCCAAAAGAAACTACACGTCGATACATTTCAGTTCACTGGACGTTGCGACTTTTATATACTGCCAAAAATCAAGCGTTCTTAAGCTGGCCTGGACTGGTTACACGGGACGCCGCCTATCCAAGCCTTCCCTGGATTTAGGTGTTGTGATGAGCACCCCAAAGTTTGGGGGAGCAGACAAGCAAATAGTTTTGTGGCATGATGATTATTGTTGAGGCCCATTATGGCGTTGGAACATAGAGCTGAGAGGGCAACAAACAGAGAGTAGACTAGCTTTGGTAGACATGATGAGTTTTGCCTGAGAGTGGCAAGGTGTGAGGGAAGTCAGAGAAGCATAGGCTGGACACTATCAATCTCCGGGTCCTTGTTCAGCAATGATCAAAGACTTATCGCTGTCCAACATGTCTTTGTCATCTAGGCACCGCGGCCCAGCGCCCCATGGACGCATTTTTCTTTCATGTAGTGGATGAAGTTAGTTATTGTTAGCACGAACAAGGCTCTTGTTGATCCTTAGGCCAACCCGAAAGTTGTATATTGTTCTCAGATGTTATGTTGGAGAACTGACCCCTGTTAGAATTAAGCGAAGGCTTGGTACGAAAAGAACGAGTTAGAACAATAAGCATATTCAACGCATCAGTTAGAATAACAAAGATCCCAGGCAAAGACGGATTGAACGTTATTCGAATTCTGACGCAGCCGTGTCAGGTATATCTTGCTCGAAACGTCACAGAAGTCAGCTTCTTCTCAACTTATCCCTCTATACCACTAGCCTCGAACAATCAGAAAAGTTAACATCAGTCAGTATGTCTCGCCAGGAATTGTCTTATTTCGACATTGTGCCTCAGTGGCAAACAACGGTTCTGCCCCAACAAGGAACAGGTGTCAACGAATCTCCACAGAGCGCAAGCATTGTCAGGATGACAGATGAATCCGATGCAGGCAGCGGCGACGAAAACGGGACTCAAATAAAGTTTGCGGTCTCTGCGAAGCGACGACAAGCGCTGGAGGACAAACGCATTGCCCAGGACAAGATGAATAAGCTCGAGAACCGACTCAACAGAACTACTGTCCTTTGTACCACACTGTTCTGTGTCAATATTGCGATCTCTGGAGTCATCTTTCTGAATTCCATGAGGAAAAATTAACCGAGGCAGGCGAGTTTTAGGTTGGTTGAAGTTACTGAGCCTGACAGGTATCGCTTACGTCGAGCGCCTTACTCGCCGTTGAGGTCCTGAGAGCAGAGACTGATTGATTGAACATCTTTGCGCACGTGGCTCTTCTGTGCGGGTTTGATGGTTGTTTAGGCATCCATAGACATTTTTAAAATATAAAAGCTTTATACTAAGCGAAGAATAATAATTGATCTGTTGCCTTGGAGTGAGATCAGACCTGCAAATGGTTGAAAAATTGAGAATAGATTGGTGATTGAGTGTGTGTCAAGAATATATTATACTTTAGGAGCCGCCTTAATATCTGATTACTAAAATCGGCTTCTTGGTCTAGAGGTATGATTCTCGCTTTGGGTGCGAGAGGTCCCGGGTTCAATCCCCGGAGGAGCCCGTTTGCTTTTTTGCTTTTTCTCATACTGTGCGTCGTGATCGATTTAAATGACTTTTGGTCCGCGAGAGCTTGGGAGTATTCCTCACTCTTGTTGACATTCTGAAATTCAGTTGACATCACTTGATTAATTGGCTTGAGTCCTGTGAAATTCCAGTTTTGGTTGTGAGATATGCGGTCGGGAATGACTGTATTAGTTAACCATAAAACTGGTACAAATGCCATATGGACTTTGAGAATATCTAACGCAAATGAGATCTAACTTGGGTATTTGTCAACTTATACAACCTCTATTGTGCCTTCCTGCTTCTAACATCAAAGTTTAATGCAATACCTCCTACTCTCCGATCGCCATCCCCGTCGTTCATTTGGGCTTGTCAACCCAGCTTGCATAGGGTACTGCATCCCGCATCTTGCGCAGAGCCTTGGAAGCTTTCGTTTCTCCTCGGATCCGGCGAGTGGCTTTTCGTCGTACAGGTGCTGAAATTATGGTGCCTCGTGGCTCGGGCGAAGAAAAGAAAAGCGAAGGGGAAGGAGGCGAATGCTGACTCCTGGGGCTGGTTGAATGCTTTTTGGCGTGCCCAGCAGTCGAAGGGGTTTCAGGGGTGGGCGGAGGGGTGCTGCCACCCGCAGCAAGTCCATCGTCGCTGCTACAAGGCTGGTTGACGTGGCGGCCTTGCAGAGCCTTCTTCACCACGATGAAGTGGTCCAACTCTTTCAGGTGGGAAATGAGTTGCTTGTCAAGTTCATGGTCGCCCTCAACGTGCTCAACAATGCCCTCATGAATGGTCAAAGCCATATCCAGCAGGTAGTCCAAACGTTCTGCACTTGTGGATTCCGTCATTATGCTGGGTTCTGAGGTTGTGATATTTTATGCAAGTGTGGATTGGCTGGCTAGATCGTTAGTGACTGTTGTGCCTGGTTGGAGTATGCACTACTTACACTAGGGCGACTGCCAAGGCAGCGGGAATCATAGGATGGAGATGGGAAGTTCAGTGATGCAAGGAGGGTAATGTCGCTTTAGGAATGATGAAAAGGAAGTTTGTCCCTGAATTCTAGAAGAGATGGAAACATCGCGGCTTAAGTATATGATCCTGAAGTATCGCTGCAGTCTTCCTCAGCGCCTCCAATCCATCACAACAAAGAAGAGGCATTGTTTCTGCGACAGATCCCGGTATGTAGACGAACTTGATGAAGAAATTCGTATTGAATGAAGCACTGGTAGCTTGAAGATCCCTGTCTTTCGGGCTCGCTTCATAAGTGCGCCCAGAGTTGTCTTTGTCCCTGAGATTCGGGGTCCCCGTGAACTTCAGGTTCTGTCGGAGAGACTAAGTCATTTCCCGATTTATTCTCTTAGCTCTGTGTGGTTATGTGCGCTATAGAATTGCATTAAAAGGTCACGGAGGGAAGAAATGGGTGAGAAGTGGTGTTGACGTGGTCCTCTTCTGTAGAATATGATATGTTACAGGTGATGAGGACAGCCTGGCATCAAGCGCCATGAATTCAGCCTGAGGAATTATGCAGGCCAACAGTGATGTGAGAATCTCCCCATTCTTCCATAGTCTAATGACGGCTTCAAATATTGCAGTCAAGGTGTAGACTACAGAGTTGGAGATTGATGCAGCCAGGAGATCTTGTTCCCCTATAAGCATATCTCAATGGATAGCGCAATTATGCACCATATCTCCCCAAACTCGATAAACAGATAAACGAGGAAATAGGAGCAATTAGAAGTCTTATTGCCAACGCTCTTCCCAATAGTAAGTACATTGAATTGTTTTAAAAAATTGTAGTAGTAAAATACAACAATAGAGATATATCTTCGAAATACGGTGCGAATGGATAATACAATCACAATTAAACGTCGCTCTGAGTAAAGGAGAGCTTCACAATATGCGGTGAGATGAAAAGAGCAAGCAATGCATGCCTGTGAATAGCTTCATGTCAATCAATGTCTTTGTTGCTTTCACGTGCAGGGTAAGAGGTTGATTGATGGAAATGTGACTGATAAGCACTGATAAGACCTTGCAAATCATGAGTGGTTGCAGCAATGGAATAACCTTAATCCGAAGCCACGATAACCGTCAACGCGACGCGACAATGATCACGGCGGGATGAACCCGGCTGCCAGCTGGTTTGCACGTCTCTAGGCTGACGTCTCTTTTCCAATAGACATGCTCTAACGAAAGGAAGCTCCACTCAATCGTGATACATGATCCAGGACCAGCAATTATTGCCCGCTTTCTGGGGGAGCCCGCTTATCTCCACTCATGGAATTGTGAATCGCGAAACAAGGAATCCCCGAGCTCGGAATTCCATTCATAGCATTTCGGTACTCACGTGACAGGCTGAATTCTGAATCGTTTCTCGTACAGTTGACTGTGATTTTGGCCCCTGCCCTAAGCTCCCGGGTAGTCAAATGCTCCTTGACCTCCTTCATTCGCGGCAGTCTCCAGATGTTGAACCAAATCGGCTCTTGCTGGTCAATTGTCGTTGGAACGGCATCGCGAGACAAATTCCCAGTAGGCCTCGGCATTAGTAGCCCAGCCCAGCATCTGCACAAAGCAAGGAGAATGATATCATACACCTGAGAATGTCAGCGCTCGCAACCTGATTGCGACAGATCATCACCACTGCGTGTAAGTAATGGTAATGAATCTTCAGCTGTAGCCATATCATAGTATCACAAGTCGATTCAACTCGTAAGACAACGCAGTGAGACCAAGATTCCAAGGAACCAACCCAGGAAATTATGAGGGCAGTTCGAACCGTCGGAACATGTATAAATGTCGTTAAATGTCCTCATCAATTATCTTTCATTATCATCTTTACACCTAAACAACCTCATCAACCTTGCCAAAGCCTCAATCAACCATTTACACATCATCATGTTCACTCTTCGCACCACTCTTCTCAGCCTCGTGGCTCTCACCTCACCCATCTTCGCCGAACATCTCCGCATCGTCTGAAGCAAAGGCGACTTCTCCGCCATCTCAAGCCCGAACGGCGGCAACTAGAACGGCCACTGGAGTAACTTTGCCATAATGGACAGAAACGGCGACGCAATCTTCACTGAGGCATATCCTGACGGCTACGCAGCAAGTCAAATCGACGATGGTCGCGAATTCGCGATCGAGGGAATTTGCTGGAGTGCATCGCGCAAGTTTCTCTGCGTCTCCAACATTGCGGGAAATCCGCAGAGCTGTGAGGTCAAAGATAACAATGGAAATAGCTTGGGTAAGGCAGAGGAGAACACGAAGTGGGATTTTATTGGGATTGCGATTGGTTCGACGGGTGGATGTGTTGTTGAGATTGACACGGAGGATTCCCGTCCTCCGATGGGTGAGGATGGCACTGATCTTCATGTTATCTGAGATATTGTGTGGCTCTTGGGTTATATATCGAGTAACTAGACTCAAGGAGAACTTTCAATAGTTACTTACTCATCATGAGAGGCTTCTGCGATGGAGAATCGCCAAAAAGAAAACACGGTTTATTACTTCCATATGTGGCGGTTTCGGGTTATAGGCAGTGTCGCGTCTTCTGGTTATGGTGCGTCGCATATTCACGCCTCGCGGATCTCTACCGAGCCTAATAGCACCTGAGCGATTAAATTTCTTCGTTTGGGCGATACAAACGACGCCAGGTGATTCGGTGGTGAAATTTCCGTTGATGCAAGAGTTGCTTTAGGTCTTCGAAGCCAATCATAACTAGATGATGAGAGCACGTCGCAAACAGGAATATCAGTACAATTCAATTGAGAAACAAAACCAGGTTACATATTATAACTATTATGTTCTAATAGTGAGGTATGTTATTTAAATATAACAGCTAATCGCCTTTCTATGCCTATCCCACCATACAACTCAAACTCTACACTATAGGTACTATAGACTAGCAAGAAAATATAATCATCAATTTGTACCCGTTAGCTTAGGACTTAAATAGCCGCCAATCTGGCAAACCGTTTACTTATAGGTGAAAGTAACTATAAACACGTGGTAAAAATCTCTGCCATTGCATCTTTTAATAGGGGTTCCTTTTATCTAAACGCTTATCGTGAATTAGGATGTAACTAAAAGTCGGGCCGCATGTAGCGTAGCATCAAGTCACTACGCCGCACTAATCACTCGGTATTTTGAATAACCAATAAGATAAGATATACGCCTACAAGGGTTTTATGCCTGTGTTTTAGAAGCGGCCGCTATCATCTGGCTCTATTGTTTCCTTCTCTGTCCTTTGGCGTTTTTGTCTTCCCTGCCGCTTGTGTTTATAGTCGATTGTTGCCTCTAAGGTTAAATGGGCTGCTAACACAAGTGATAACTACTACGTAGCCCTGCCCTGCTCTTTGCCTTGTACTGGGTTGTCTGTCCTGCCCTGTTACTGTCATTCTGAACTTCCTTTGGTTCACTATCTCGGTCCTGTCTCCAGACGAGCCGCAACTGAAAGTAAGTAAATTGTTTTGAAAACCAAGTGCAAAACTATTGAGGGTACTCGGCCACCACTATGAGAGATCCAGAGATGCCCATACCCAGTCCACCGAACCATTTGCTAGTGAAAACATCCGGTATTCTTAAGAAGGAGAGCTCTGCCGCACCTAATGCTTCTAAGCGGCGCATTCAAAAGTTCAGACCTGTGTATAGGATTAAAACCAGTCAACATCGCGTAAAATGTCCAGTTACATTGCTCCACGGCCTTCTATGCCTCGGGCGCCAGAATGGCCTGGAACATGGTTTTGGAACTTTTGAAAGGAAGCCGCTTGCAATAGTACGAATTGCGGATTCTGTAAATGTGACCCCGTCTCGGAATACCCTGGGCTGCCTATTAGTTATCCCGCACCTCCGTTCCTAGCCCGTAGAAGGAAGATATTACCAATTAAAATGGCACGTTTCACCTATCTAAACGATGAACGGTCGCGGTAATAACATGGTCGTTGAAAGAAAGATTTTGCCTTCAAGGTTAAGCTTTAGGCTGCTGAGTTGCCGTGTTGCTTAGTGGAGGCTTTGTGCAAGGCATGCACCTGTGAGGCGCAGCAAAACTATTGCCCGGGCACTTTAACCAGATTTCGCCTCGGATGACATACCGGTGAGACAACCCGTGATAATTTGGAGAAATGATTAGAGTTCTCAGCCTCTCACAACTGCCGGCTTAGTCTACCTTCTGAAATTGGAGTAGTAAATAAGAAACAGAATATACGAGCTTTGTCTTTGGCCGAATCTGGCAGGCGATTAAAAACTGCGGTTCAGAAAAATCGGCTGATAACTTTGCGATATCTCAGGTATAAATACCAAGAGATCTCGTCTTTCTTCACCATGAGCAAGCTTCCACAGCCACTTCAAGCTTTCATTCCCCTGCAGACTTTACTCGTCCTTGCTTAACTCAGACTTTCTCTCTCTTATCAACTCCATTGAGAAATAACCCGCGACCCATCAAACCTCAATACCAAAATGCGTTTCGATATCACTGCAATCATCGCGGCTATGGCCTTGACTGTCTCGGCAGACCGCATGGAGGTCTTCACGAATTGCGCGGCTGGCAGTTGCCATAGCGATGATGGCATCTTTTATACCGACTTTGGTGCCTATCGTGTCAATGCCAATGAAGGGTGCCGAGGAACGTCAGTCCCTGCTATGATAGAGTTCTGTATGGACTGGGGCAACCGACGTGGCCACTTCAGATTCTCTGGACAAGGAAATAAGCGATGCCTTGTCCAGGATTCGGAAAACAAGGTCGGTTGTGGCAGCGACGGAACGGACTGCTGGAAGACGACTTGGAAAGAGATCGCCTGTTACTGGCGCGAAAGACCCATCCCGGAAGAACAGCTGGCCACTGAGCCTCATTCGACATTTTTCACCAGCACAGTCCCTACTGTTGCCACCACTTTCTCTGGCAACTAAGGAGCAATCGTGCCGGGAAGCCGGTTGTTGATACACCGTGGCTCGTCAAAGGACTTTGTTCTCTTTATTGCACTTGATGAACGGAGGCTCGCTTTATTTATGGAATGGGAGATTTTCAAGCAGATAATTGAATATTCTTACAAGACAGACTTTTGGACGAACCTGGAGCCTTTATTCGAATCACTAGGAACTTAGCCTCGCCTATCAGAAAAGCTTACTCTTTCTATCAAACACAAATACTGCTATAACTGCAACAGTCAATCTTTTTATTCTTGAGTTAACCTATAAAACATTGAATTATTGCAAAACTCAAATAACGCTCTCCGTGGCGAGAAGGAAACCGATGATGAAGCAAACAACAGCTGGTAAGTCCACCACTAAAGACCTCGTCAGGTGCATCTCTAACCACAGTTCCAATGATGCCGTACTTGAAGCATTAGCATCATTACGCCGGATCTTGGCCAGCAAATCGATTGCCTTGGGACCAAAAATCAGGAGATGACCGGCTGCAAATAGCGTTCCAGCCAAGTAAGATACAACGACACTCCGAGCCCCAGTGACATTCCAAGAGGTAACAGTATTCGCAAATCCGCTTGCCAAACTTAGAGTAAAGCTTCCAAAGACAACCTTGGTTCCCCATGGTCCCCAGTTGGTGAACCAAAGGGGCAGCAGCTCATTTGCCTGCGATCGGTATTGAGGGATTGTCCAGCAGGAGAGGAAGGCGTACTCGTCGTAAGCAAATTGTAGGCTGACTATCGATGATATGACTGGTACCAGACGGAGCAGTTTGGTTGGCAGAAGGAATCCAAAGAGGGATGACAGTATGATAATTGAAATGAGGAGCCACATGATCTGCCGAGACGTTTTGCTGGCCATTGTGTCGCGGTGAGGGATGCTTGTGTTATTAACGATGGAGGGAAAGACTCGAATTCATTTCAGACCGTAAAGTTGCTGGGACCAGGTATAGAAGAAGATATGATATGCGGCACCAACATAAATTCGACAGTAGGTTCAAGGATATAATCAGCTGGGGACGTGTTCCTAGATATACCTTCTCCTCATCCGGAAACAAGGCGAGGACCCAGTGCTAGCTCTGAGTAAGCTGACATGACTCTAACTGAATAGCGCAAATGATGTACGCAGCGCCTTGGACATACAGCACGCTAACCCTCGTGATAGCGCTAAGATAGAGCTCTTGGGGGTTGCGGGGTTTGCCATATTTAGAAAATCTGAGCCCTAATTGCTGAGGATGTATTTCATCAATTGATATGACGCCCCGGCCCTTCACATGATCCATATCCGAATGTTGATACGGCATTAAATCAGTGTCAAATATAGCCGCGATAGTGCCCCCCGATATGTCACACCAATCGATTCATCTCCAGTTCATTTCAAGTGCCACCCAGCTCTGAGTTGGGCCCATGCTCGATTGTTCAAGGGCGAAAGACATGTCACTGTAAGTCAACTAAGAAAGAAATCAGGATATGTATTACAATTAATTATGTTTATCTAATGTAAGTTATTGATATGTAACTTCTAGTCGTCTTTTTATGCCCAACCCATTATGCAACTCAAATCTTACACTGCTGTAGCAGTCTTCTCCTTAGGCTCAGTCGAGCTGCTATCAGACACAACACCATCCTTCTGTGATGACTTCTCCTCTTCAGAATCATCAGTGACGACCTTCCTTGTCTTACCCCAGCCAAAGTTGTCCATGTTGACAACAGCGTAAAGCATAACAGCGATGTTGAGGAAAGGGCCAAGGAAGACAAAGACAGCAAGGCCTAGAAGAAATTGAGTACGCTCAACAAGATTCCGAGGAAGCCAAGTAGCCATGATTACATAGTAAAGAAGGGGAATGATCATGACACCAGCGAAACACATAATTAGCCACCAAGGTTGACTCATGAAGGCGACAATCATACAGCCAATCGATGCAATGACGAACACGTTGAGAGACCAGGTGAGAACGTTGGAGAAGGCGACGATGCGCTCCCACCATTGAGTGTTCCAAGCACAGAAGAGCAGAAGGTCGTTACTAGTAGCCCCAAGAGTCCAGCGACGACGCTGAGAGAGGAAGACGTTCCAAGAGTGGGGGACGTCAGTGTAAGCGCGAGCATGAAGAGCCTGGCGTGTCTGGGCGTGAGGGAACGTTACGAGCAATTGGCAAATGTGGTTACGATCCTCTGAGGCTGTAGCGCGGATACGCTTGAGCATACCATCCATGTGTTTTGGGAAGTAGCCGAAGAGATCGATGAGAACGAGATCTCCACAGGTTTCGTCGCAGATCTTGAGAAGTTGGCAGCAGCCAGGAAGACAAGAGACCTTCTTAGTGGCGATGGACTGATGAAGACGACGAAGACCCTGGGCTATGGTGTACTCGGCAGACTGGTAGATAGACCAGAGGTTCCAGTTGCCATCTTTGAAGTCAACAGCGACGTAACCGCAGACACCGACAGTGTTGGGATAGTACGACT